CATATACTAACTACCCCATGGGATTTTTAAATCCCATGTTTGTGAAATTTCATTGAAATCCCAGGATTTCAATTCCGGACTTTCCTTTAAACCAAACACGGGATTGGAATGGAATCCAGTTCCAAATCCTACCAAATCACGCAAACCAAACAGGCCCTCAATCTTATTCCTGCAAAAACTCAGAATACAGAAAGAGTTGAATGCCTACTTTTCCATTGATATAGCAGTAAACAGGCCTAGATATCACATTGATATTCTTATCTCACATGGACTACAAAATTTTCCACGAACTTCTTATGTGGTCTGTACAGCATTCTTATAAATTAAAAGAAGTCCCCAAGTGTTTGAAAGAAAGATGCAAATAAATTTCGTAGGCATGTCAGAAGTCTGTGTATATATAAATATTAATGACGTAAAAGAATTAACCAACCTGCTGGGTATGGGGGTTTATGCCAAAGACTTTGGTAGGGCTGCTCTCCACAACACTTGTTTTCTCCTCAAGTGATAATGTCTCCATCATTTCTTCATTAACATGAATCTCAGGTTCATACATGAAAGTGACGGTTGCAGCAGGTGACCACTTGGCATGATCTTTTCCAATTCCCTTTCGAGCTATTGCTCTTAGCCTCAGTTCTTGCCCTTTGCGCAGTTTCACAATTGTTATTCCCCTAAACATAAGAAACCAGCATTAAGAGCATCTCCAACAGATTCTCTAAAATGAAGAAAATGGAGATTTTGAGCAATTTTTTGCTCCAACAGATTCCCTAGAACTTTCTTCAAAATGAAGAAAGTAGGAGAGAGGGTGCAAAAATCTCCAAATTTGGAGAAATCCCCAAAAATGATTACCATGACAGAGAAACATTTTTTATTATATTCCACCAATAAGAAATCTTGAAATTAAATGTTTAGGTGAGAAAATTAATATTTTATTGGAAGTATTGAATATTTGTAATGATATAATGGATGTTGTAATCTCCAAAAATGGAGAAGCTATTGAAGTTGAATGCAATATTGTTTGGAGATTATGAATTTTGATTCTCCATTTTGGAGAATCTGATGGAGATGCTCTAATTTCAGACATCTTCCTTCATCCCAAGCATCTAGGGTTAGAGAAAGCAATTGCCCCTTTACAAGAAGACCCTAAACTAACTTGCAACTTATGCCTAATCCCATTTTGTTGCCTAGAATATTCTTCACTTGTGAACCAATAAAAAACAATAATTTGCATTTATGTTACAGGGAAAAAAATGGAAGTGTTAAAACAAGCATGCCTATTCAATTTACAAGGATTTCACTTCCTGAACAACCCATGCTGACAAGAAGGATACCACTCAATCCCTCCAAAATAATGGGAACAATTTCCATTCTGGGATGTCTAGAGTTAATTGCAAGGTTTCCTTCTTCAGACCTGTTTCATGGTAAGCCCATTTACCACCTTAATCATTAAGAATATTGATTTTGGTGATTGGTCCACAAAGATTCCCCCTGTGTTGTTATTACTGAAGATATTTAGATATTTGAGTAATCAGAACATTGCACTTATTCCGGTACAAGGGGTGCATACAACATCAGGAAACAAGAAACAAGAAACTGAATAAATAAATAAAACCCAATTTATTGGGAAAGAAATGGTTAAGAACTAACAAACTTGTGCCACAAAACTTCCTATTACAGAAAAAAACGATTCTATAGGGCATTCACTTTTGGCAAAAAAATAAAAATAAAGATGCAACAGTGAGATAGATTTTGTCATGAGTCCATGAAATACGTCTTATTATCGATCAGAGCATAAGAATCTAATTCCACCTAGATTAAGCTGCCTCCAAACTTTACAGGGTTACACTGCATTTTCTCTTGATAATCACCTTAGACGAACAAAATGTTATGCAGCTTTTAGAGTTACACACAGCACAAGGTATCAAAAAAGAGACCAGGAAAGGTAGAAAATCAAGCTGCATACTACATTTCCAGAGTTTTTAGTTTTTACAATAAGACCAGATTATATATGAACAGATCAAGTAGAGCTGAATAAAGTTCCAATATAGAAAGTACAAATTTTTGATTCTTTGGCCTAGAGATAAAAAAACTGAAACAAAGCACAAGAAGATCACCAGTTCCTCAATTCATTGGAGGGTTTTATCTCTTGCCCACACGATTAGCGGATCCCCACACTTTTCAAGTTATTGGAAGTACACTTGAAGATGATATCCACATACACTTGACAAAATGATTGGGGGTCAGATTACGATCCAATAACTATGATATGCTTTTACCTCAGCCCAGGGAAATCACAATAAGGTGATTGACAAGATAAATTCTAGCTCTTTCGTGAAAACACATCTTGAAGAGGCTTCACCATACTCATGTTTTGTCAAAGAGATCATTAAAATGGAAAAATCAGATACTCAATCCCAACATAAGCATATTTCTCAAGCAGCAGCAGTAAGTTCAAAAAATAAAAGGTAATGTTCATTGAAGCATTCTGCTTGAGAATAGAAAAAACTTTGTGTGATTAACATGATATGTCATAGAAACTTGAGCTCAATGCTAGTTATTTAGCAAATAAGGATCTTCCATCATTATAAGCAATTGATAGAGTGATATTCCGAATACTCATTACTAATGGAATCAAAATGATCTCTGGGTTGATCAGAAGATCCTTTGATGAACATTCAACTGCATGTAACATTACAAATCCTTGCCACAAATACATATTTTGTTCAAAAGCATTTCCTAATGGCTTCATTATTAGAATAACCATATATTCTTTCTGGATATTGCTCTGTCATTGTTGGCAGGAAAGAGCATAAGTAATCCAACTCATGCTTAACAGCTAACAATCAGAAGAGATTCAAATAGACAAGAATTATAGATCAAAATTACATAAAGATATGATGAAGATTCAACAAACAGCGACCCTTGTGCAATAAAACTAGACCTCTTTCTGAGGGTTGGTAAGGGAAATCTTTGTACTTTATAATACGGAATAAACGACAAAAAACTTTAGGCCCAATAATTTTTGCATTACTACAGGAATTGGGATGCATAGAAAGGTGTAATGGATCAAGCAGAGAATAAAGGAGGTTGAATAATTAAAACCAAATTCTGGCCATTTGAGAGGCCAGTATCTCCAAGAAAACAACTGAGAAATTTTTTCTACATTCACACTCTTCTTACTTGCCACTATTTATACTCAGACCCTTAACACCTTACTGACAAAAACCCCAAGTTACCTTTTTCTACTAATCCCCCAACTGCTGAATTATCCCCCTTTGCTTGTGGTCCCCTCCTGACCAGATTTACGTTTCTCCTGGTATACGTGTAGTGGATAGGCGAGTTGGAAAGAGTTGGACAAGGGTCCTGCCATAGCCAATTCTAGGACAGGTCTAATGTAAGAAGCAACTTATTAACAAAGATACTCTTTGATAGTCTAAATCCTAAATTCCATGTCATGATGGATAACTGGCAACCTCAATGTTTTTATGTATTACCCCAAGCTAACATATACAAAGGAAGCAACAGGAAAAAAACAACATAACAACCAAAGCAAACATGATTATAGATACAAGAGCAAACAGAATGTTTACAATACAATCTGTGAAAAAGAAAAAAGTTGCTAGCTTGAAATACAGTAATCTTAATTACTTACAACAAAAATACAGCAAGTTTTTATCCGAAACTAGTGAACTTGGTACAATCTGCTAAAAAGGACAAACGGTTGATAGCATGTAATGCAAGCGCTAAACTAGTGGCCTTGTTATAATATTCATCAAGGTTTTAACCAAACATTCTTAGAATGTTATGAACTCATGCTTTTGAATTATACATGATTTTCGTGACGGTACATTGGTCGATTATAGTAACCTTGACAATTCACTTCCAATGCTACAATGGACTAGCAAGCTTCACCTCTTTGAATATAAAATCAGTAATATAAAATCCCTTTACATCTTGCTTTCACCTAAGGTTATTTTGATCTCAAGCTGACAAAAAGACTCCAAGAAAAAATCTATTAGACATTCCCTCCATTTGGAATTCAAGAATCATTCCAGTCTGGTCAAAGATGGTCGTAATATCATCAGTTCTATGTGAAATTTATAATATAAAAACTTTCTAAGAAAGTATAGAAATTATCCTACTTCATTTCATATTCAATTCCTTAGAAACTTCAATGAACATACCAATCACCACAACACTTGCACATCCATTCATCTCTCCGTGTATGCTAAAAGAAGCTGACACCAAATAAACTGAGGGAGAAAAAGAAAGGACTGGGGAGCAAAAAGATCCCAGAGAGTATATAAAATCAAAAGCAAAAAACAATGAGGGAAAATTAGTCTACACTAGTTTGGAACTACAACAATCATAAGCATTTCATACTAAACAAGCCTACTTTTGTTGCATTTCTTCCATATTAGAAACACGACCAGACGACCTACCTTTTACTTAAATCCTCAGAATCGAAGTATAAATGATAATGCGTGAAATCCTAACCATCCCCAAATAAAGCTAACAAAATGTCATTGGCCTATACTACATACAATTTCAGAGAATGAACGTTCAAAAGCAGAAAGACTGTGTAAATGAATAACACAAAGAAAAATATACCTCTGATCTTCATTATTTTCAAAGCCGGCACCGGTATCGGAGAAGTCGACAGGCACAACAGTGTGGTCAGAGCTATAGAGATCTTTACTGGTAACATCTAGGGTTTGATCATTTATACACTTGGCTCTCAGATGAAACTCAACAGAACAAAACTCACACTGACCGTCACCGTCACAGGCATCGCAGTCACGTGAGAACCGCATGCTCATGGCGCGCTCGCTTGTTAGAGGGATAAGGCCAAGACGATGTGCAATGAACTCATCATTAAGAACAGAAGAGTTGACCTCGATTTCAACAAGGTCGATGGCGATGGTCGGAACCTCCGCAATCATGACGCGGCGGAGCGCATTGGCCATGCTGGCGTCGGTTTCCCGGAGCTCGAATTTGGCGTAGTCATCTTTGAGCTCACGGATTTTGACCTTGGGGAACCTCTGGTATGATGCCCCCTCCATTTTCGTTCCCTCTCTAGGTTTTTGAAAACCCTGGCTCTGCAAAACCCTCCTCGATGGCTTCTTGGTAGAACCACTGCCTGTAATTTATAAATTAAGGACCTTTAGTTTTAAAATGTTCACTTTCTTCCCTTAAAGAATTTGGATATATCACTTTGCTCCCTGTACTAATTTCTATATAAGTATGTACCCAATAAAATGCGATTTTTTCTATTTTGAGCTGTTAATATATTTGTAGCAAAACTTTGATCCAAATCTAACTATTTGTTTATTAGACGAAGAATCGTGTGAGAAAGAAAGTTATGGTGAAAATTGTAAGAAGAGATTTCAGCCATTAATCACTTTTAATCTCATGTACACCCATGAATTGTTTTAGAATACATTTGATCTTATGCATCTCGATACGTCTCATTAGTGTTGACATTCAATTAGGATTAATCCAATGGTGGAGATTTCGTCTTACGTCTCTCACTGAAACCCAACCCTTGTTTATTAACAATTACTATAAAATACTATGAAGATCAATTTTGATCCGTAAGTTTTCGTTATTTTTGTCTTATTACATGACATTTTTATCGAGATACGTGTTAGGTTAAAACATACTTTTCTTTTGGGGGTGGAGGGAGTAGTTTTCAAATTCAATAAACCAATTAAGCCAAGAAACTTAGAATCCAAGCAAACCAGTTCGGTTTTACTTTTGGAGACAACTTGGTTTGATTATGTTCAAGAAAAATGAACCGGAAGGAAGTTTTTTATGTTGCTTTTTACCGTTATGGATACTTTAGTAACTTGGTCACTGTATGTTAAAGCGATGTTCTAATGTTTTCAAAAACGAAGTTGTCGTAGTCATGTCAAAACCTATAATCTCTTATTTAATTGATGCAACAAATGTGTTTATTCTCTCCAAATTTAGAGAACGGTATCACAGCTGAGCGGAAGGGTTGCACGTACTGAGTTCCATTGAGTGAATAATAACCAAGATGTTACAGGAGGCTATTTTTTAGTCTAATGTGCAACCCAAAAATTAAATACATGTATCACTGGTCCAATTTATAGCCCAAATTTAATATAACTATTGTCTAGGTCAAGTCCAATAGGACCAATACTCCAATTCAATTCACTGATTCAGTTCTCGACTTCACATTCTCCTATCGTCTACTCGTCTAGCGTCCCTAAATCTGCAAATCGTGACTGCTGGGTGCCGACCGAACTGTGGTTGTTGGCTTGCTGCCGACCGGACTTGGTTGTTCGCTTGTTGTCAACCAAACTGCTCTTGTTCTCGTCCCCAATTCGTACTCCCAATTCTGCTCTCGAGTTCCCGAATCCTTTTATGCTTGCTACGGAACGGGATTGTGGTTGCTTACTTGCTACGGGATTGTGGTTGTTGTGAGCCTGTAAGTAAATCGTTTTCTGCTTGCTACATATATGGCTTTTGTCACTCGTTTTCAGCTAGTTCCTGCTTGGCTGCTTGTTTTCTACTACTTCTAATAACTTTTTGAGACTTAGTTGTGTATCAGATTATATGCTTCATAGCTCATGTGGTTTAGTGGTTTACATATTTTCTAAAAATGTTATCATCAATTGATTATGTATAGGAGCAATGGAAAATACTACTAAACCTCCAAAAATCGAAGATAAAGATGTACCAAACTCGTCTAAGAAAAGGGGTGGTAGAACTTCAAACGTTTGTGATCACTTTTCAAAAAAGGACTATAGATGTGTCTGTAATTATTGTGGAAAAGATTATGCTTACCATAGCAAGAAAATTGGCACAAGTTGTTTGTGGAATCACTTAAAAAACCAATGTAAGAAGTATTTGGATAGCATTAACGATAAAAAAAAATAAAAATTGCTTAGCTTTCCTACTATCAATGAAAATGAGGTATCATTTAATAAAGAGATATGTCGCAAAGTCGTGACTAGGTTTGTGCTTAAGGATGAACAACCCTTTAGTGTTGTAGAGGATGAAGGATTTAGAGAACTTGTCATGAGTTGCAACCAAAATTTAGTGTTCCTAGTAGAGTGACTGTTGCTAAAGATGTTTAGCAGTTGTTTTATGGTAAGATAATTAAATTGAAGAAAGAGTTGACAAATGTCGGACCAAGAATATCTTTAACAACTTTGTTTATTATTTATCATATTTCATTTACCAACTTTATGAATTTTAGTAACCCGCCAACCCAATCCAACCCGTCCTAACCCGCAAGAGTTGGGTTGGGTTGGGTTTATACTTTTGAATGAGTTGGGTTGGTTTGAGATTTTTCAAACCGCCATAATTGGGTTGGGTTGTAAAAATCTCAAAAACCGCCCAACCCAACCCACGTACATCCCTACCGATGATCCAATGCTTGGTTTTACCACAACTTGGCACACAAACAAGGGTTCCAAACTGACTGGATTAGTTTGAGCATGCCATTGATATAGGAACAAAACCAAGGGGAATGCTTAGATCGATACTTAAGTTTAAGATCCACATTGACCAACAAAACGACTAGGTGAAAAGGAGGTAGTTACAACTCAAAATGTTTGGGTATAGCTAGAACCCCGTGAGTTCATGCATTATTACAACGAAATGTATGGTAAATGATGCATGTTATGTTCTTATCATAACCTAAGCAGTGTGAGATTTACCAGGTTCGTTTAGTTTGATACATGTTATGCCCTTTTCCATTGGAACTTCAACAACTAATCCGGAACCTTATTAATACATGAACCAATCCTACCTCATTAGCTAGTCCAAGGTATAGAATAGAACCTCGGTTTAGATAGTTTTGATTCATAACTGAAATCTTGTAAAACATTACAACTAATAAAGCTACGACATTCACAGTTTTAGTCATGGATTCATAAGAGCATCCATACTGATGGACTTTTTACACCTTTTTTTTTTCAAAATAAAAAAAAGGCGGGATTCACATGAAAACCTGGTCTTTAACTTACAAACAAAAATCAGTTATATCAATGGTTTTTCCACAATCTCATGTGTTCGATCGCTTGACAACAAACATCATTGTGAATACCCTAGAAAAGCAACCTCTATTCAAGGTTGCTTACATTCACTGCCATGGACGGACCCAGACTTGTGGTATAGGTATTAATTCTCCACCGAAGGATAAAAAATTTAGGTTTTGTAAAAGGTGCAACTGTATTAATTTGTTGTGTGCCACATTTTGAAATTACAATGAGAACAAGTTTTATTTGGTAGAGTTGGTTTGCAAGACTTTTATTCCACCCACACTCAAGTTCGAATCATGTTAGTGTCATTTTCTTAGTCAAACGGTGTCACCGTTTGAAAAAATTTCCAATATTTTTTTCGTATAGTCAAATGGTGCCACCGTTTAAAAAAATCTGGGTCCTTCTCCATCCACATCATATAAAAAAATCAAACAATATAATACATTAATACACATCAGTAGAACTTATAAATCCTTAAACTTTCAAAACATTATCTTAGAAATATTCGTCATAGTATAACATGATCCACTGCCAAAATAAAAATACAAGTTGAGTAAATAGATTTTAAAAATGATAGTAATAATAATATAGTATTATTATTTACTAGAAGGGTACTCGTGCAATGCAACGAAATATATCTTGATTATAATATTTCATTTTATTCTTTATCTTAGTCGATGTTATAATATGGTCTTATGTAATTTTGAAAAAACGATGATATATTTATTTTTTAATAAAATATAAAATTGAAGATATCATTAAAATTTGACAAAAATATATCGATATTAGTATCAAATTAACTATTTAAAATCCTCATTTTTTGTGTAATTTTTAATTCAAAATTTTTATTATAATTTAATTTATGTTCAATAACGAAGTAATTTATTTTTGGTTTAATAATATAATTTTTTTTATAATGATAATAAATAATTATTTTGTTAAAATTCGATAATTATCCTAATTATTTTTTAATTTTTTAATTTTTTAAAAATGAGATGTTTATTCTCTATTTGATTATGTTTATCCGCAGTTAGTTACACGAATTCAAATATGAAGCTTTAATAAGTTGTACTTATACATAATTTACTTGTAATATTAAATTCTATGTAATATGCATCAACATATAATATTTTATATATAAAAAATAATTTTTAAGAGTTTTTACCAAATGATTTGTAATTTAGTATAAAATATAAATCAGCAAATGTTGAAAAAGGTGAAGAAATACAGTCGACTATGAATGGGGGAGGGGAGAGCAGAGTACGGGAAAAAGGTGCGCCACAAAAAAGGGGTGGGCTGGGAATTTGTGGCCCAAAATGTCGCCTACAATGGGTCCGTCTCAGTCGCATCATCGCCAGCGGGATTTTATGAGATTCCACTCCTATTTTCGACCATTTAACTTTTTCCATTTAAATTAATATTTACAACTTGCTTCAAATATATTTTATATATTTATATCGTAAGACGTGGCATATATGGATGAATATGGTATTATATCTCATTATCAATCATTACTGATTGATATGTAAAATTTTATACCATGTATCAACCATTTATATTTGATATTATTAACTAATATATATTATTTAAAATTCAAGATTATATGTTATAACTGTTTTAATATAACATCTTAAATGTCCTTTTTTAAAGACTACTCGACAACAAGTGATAATTATGTTAAACACGTGTTTATCCAAATTAATATTATATAAATATATGATTTATTTTTAATAAAAAAACTACATAAAGTAGTAATGCATCGATCTTAGAGGCTGCTATAACTGGTCTTCTATTAAATCATGTATAGATTAAGCTAGTTGTGTAGCTTAATCTGCCTATATAAATTGATTTTTTTTTATTTTAGATGATTTTTTTATAGACGAAAGGGACTGTTCTTTTATTGGAGGGAAAATTGCACCAAAATGGAACCAATTTTCATCTAATTCCTATTTTGGGGAACCAACTTTCAAAATCGTCATTTTGGGGAACCAACTTGGACCTGATTCCTATTTTGGGGAACCAACTTTCAAAATCGTCATTTTGGGGAACCAACTTGCACTTGATTCCTATTTTGGGGAACCAACTTTCAAAATCGTCATTTTAGGGAACCAACTTGCACCTGATTCCTATTTTTGGGAAGCAACTTGCAAAATAATTATAGAAAAATAACTAAAATTCGTTTTTTTCCAAATATTAATGCAATAAAATATATTTTTCATTTAAAATCTCGTTTTTTTAATTCAGATATCAAATTGAACATTTTAAAAAAAATCCAAATTACCACAATAAAATTTATTTTTTACTAATGCAAAAAAAATAATTTAATAGAAAAAAATTAATTGATGCAATTGGTCAGATATAAAAATCTTGAATGTGATATTTAATATTTATTTTTTATTGCATCAATTAATTTTTTCTATTAAATTGATTTTTTTTGCATTAGTAAAAAAACAACTTTTATTGTGGTAAGTTGGATTTTTTTTAAATGTTCGATTTGATATCCGAATTAAAAAAAACGAGATTTGAAATGAAAAATAGATTTTATTGCATTAATTTTTGAAAAAAAAACAATTTTTTGTTATTTTTCTATAATTATTTTGCAAGTTGGTTCCCCAAAATAGGAATCAGGTGCAAGTTGGTTCATCAAAATGACGATTTTGCAAGTTGGTTCCCCAAAATAGGAATCAGGTGCAAGTTGGTTCCCCAAAATGACGATTTTGAAAGTTGGTTCCCCAAAATAGGAATCAGGTGCAAGTTGGTTCCCCAAAATGACGATTTTGAAAGTTGGTTCCCCAAAATAGGAATCAGGTACAAGTTGGTTCCCCAAAATAGGAATCAGATGCAAGTTGGTTCCCCAAAATGACGATTTTGAAAGTTGGTTCCCCAAAATAGGAATCAGGTCCAAGTTGGTTCCCCAAAATGACGATTTTGAAAGTTGGTTCCCCAAAATAGGAATTAGATGAAAGTTGGTTTCATTTTGGTGCAATTTTCCCTTTATTGGAGGGGTAAGTTTGGATTTTTTTTTTCTACATAAAATTCTCACTTAAAAACTTTAAGAATAAGTCATTTTTTATATCATTAAATCACTATCGTACAACCATGTATAACTGAGTTAATAAGTTATGAATTGCGTTAAGCCCGTTAAATTAGTAAGAAACAATCCCCTAGATTATTTAAAGGACTTGTTTTGAAGATTTTATATTAAATATCTATACTATATTATAAAGCATTTGATAAAAACTCTTAAAAATTATTTTTTATGCATGAAGTACTGTATATTAATGTATATTACTTAAAATTCAAGATTACAAATAAATTATGTATAAGTATAACTTATTAAAGCTTCATGTTTGAATTTGTGTAACTAACTGCAAATAAACATAATCTAGAGGATAAACATCTCATTTTAAATATAAAAAATATAAAATATAATTAGGATAATTATAAAATTCTAACAAAATACTTAATTATTATCTTTATAAAAAATATTATTAAACCGAAGATAAAAAAACGAATTAAATAAATACACAAAAAAAAAAATTAAATAGTTAGTTTGGTATTAATATCAGTATATTTTTTCAATTCTTTATGATGTCTTCATATTTATATCTTATTTAAAAATAAAAACATTATCGATTTCTCAAAACCATATAAAATCGTATTATAACATCGACTAACAGGGGCGGATCCCTATAGGGGCCTTTGGGGGCCATGGCCCCCCCGTTTTTATACATAAATACTATAACTAAAGTATTAAAACCATATACATTAAGTAGCTTAGTTGGCAATGTTGCCCAACTTGCATACTTGAGGTTGCTGTTTCAAATCCAATCCCAATCAATTTTTTTGAACTTTATATAAATTATTAATATTTAATTATATATATTAGTTTTTATATAATATATAATTATATGTAAATATAAGTTTTTAAAGTAAATTACACCGGTATTACTATTTCTCGGTTAATACTTTGAATATTTAAGTTTTTAGAGTAAATAATATAATATATTA